CTCTTGTTTTGAATATTCTGATAAACAGACAATTTTGGAGGTCCGATTATCTTGGCTAATTCGCCAAGTCAGTACTGATGCGTAAAGTTGATGAACTTGAGTGATTAACTTCTGGTCCGGAATTTATGAGGCATTAACTATTTTGTACAAATATTAGATAGCCCTCTCTATAAAACCTTGGAACATATCGACTCTAATGAACAATGCCCCGGAAATAGACTCAGAAATCTGTAATATAAATAAATGCTTCTATTATTTGTTTTGGAAATTACATGCAAACTGATATAAATTCAACATTTATTCTCATGAACTGATTCTACTAAAGTTAATGCCAATTGAGACATGCCTTCAGCATGGCAAAGCACAAAGCAGTGATATAAATACTTTACCAACACGAGTTCTGAGTTGATCTTTGCTCAAAGATGCAGTAATTTCTAAAATCCGGATTATGCCGACTAAATATTTCACATTGTGTTTACTCCTTGAAAGGCAGAAATTCGGATACATGAGGATAATCTTCGGGGCATCACAAAGGAGAGTTATAAGAAAATAGTGATATGAGACAAGAAGTTTTAATTTCTCAGGTTCTGAGCAACTAGAAATATGTCAGTGTTTTGACCACACCTAGTCTCAGAATCAAATACGCGTGCAAGAATTTATTTATCGGGATTTTTATACTACTCTCCCTCTTTATGTGGAAGTCATTTTCCCTCCTTTTTATTGAAAGAGCCAAGGTATGAATGTTGCCAATGCTATATCATAACATCCAAGAAATGCCTTTGATTTTCCGAAATCTTTACAGTATATAGTCGATGGAATCTTGCTAGATCAAGGGTCATTTTTTTGTGTCTACTTTTGGATGTAAACTTACATAGCGCTTAATCCGATTTGTCAGATGCCCCCTTTTTTACTTATGGACTACATAAATTAATTTGGAGAACTGGTAGACTCCGGAAGATTTCAATTCGAGCCATTTTTTCATCTTTACAATCAACTACTACAATAACCTTATACTTCCAAATGAATGTTAATACTTTCTTTAGATCAAGGGATCTGAGTATTCGTAACTGCTGTCCCAGCTCAAGAGCGTCTAATCAAGCCAAGTAGAATAAATGAGTAACCAGTGTGAATCAGTGGTATAGAATGAAATAATTTAATTTAAGTGTAAATAGGGATAAGAAGGTACAGATTCATAAGAGTCGGCGGGGCAGGCCAATGTACAAATTCGGTTAAAGTGCGTGCGGTATTCTAGGAAAAATAGTATGCGTATATTCTTTCTTCTGTTGCTGTGGAACCAATCTTAGAAAGGAACAAGAGTTCTTTCATTTCGGAAGACCGCTGGAAGAGACTTAAGATATATATGTTGTTTTCAACAAATTCTGTTGAAGACCAATTTCAAGTTATCCCACTGAATCAAAAGTCGGGCCTGCTTTGCCCTACCTGCAAGGCCCTCAGCCTGTACAAGTGAGAAGAATCAAAGGGACTCATTAGTTTTAACATAGAGAGTAGAAAATAAGACAATTTGGTACATCAATATATTTACAATACAAAAGTTGCGGCTTCTGGGCTTATGTAAAGGCATTGTAGCAGTAATGTTTATTTGAATTAGTATTAGTATTTGTTGCTACTAGAGTAATTTTCAAAGCCGATCACTTTGTGTGGTCGAAAGGAATGTTGCTCTACCAGTCACGTTTTGGTGAGAGGAGAGTTTGGAGGGAGTAAAAAATGGGACTTTGGTGATCTTATAAATGGTCATTTCCCTGTGGCAGAAATATGACAGAGCCTGACAAATGTACACTAGGCTTGAGTTTTCGGCCTCAAACACGAAGGACTATATATATATATATATATATAATAATAATTTATATGTCATAGCCCTCAGTGCTGCTGGTCGCCTCGTGAGGCAGGCTAGTTTCGAGGCGATCGTGAGACCTGAACATATCTATATCTATATATATATATATATATATATATATACAGTTGCATTATTAGTAGATATTGTGCCCTGAGCATAGCACGAAAGGTTTTGCTAAGTATATCTGAACAAATGACTACGAGCATTGAAGTATCCATGACGGATTTTAAAAAAATAGCATCCTATATTTACACGTCTGTTTCGATCATCTCCTCCATTTGATAGTCTCTGGACAGAGGCATCCTATGCTGATTTTTGGCTAGACTGCCGCTCGTTCGAAGTGCAGTACTGCTAATTTCCAGTTGATTGTTCGCCAGCTGTTTGTATTTCGATGTTACCTGAATGTCTTTGGCAGCAGAATACGAGAGTTTGGCTTCGGAAACTTTTAAAAGGATCTCCGAAGCTCCAGTGTTTGACACCTCCATGGCCGACTCGATTAACATTTTATGCTGCCCAACGTCAACCCAGGGGGTCTGAAATGACTTCGGTACCATGGAAATGGCAGAAGGTGTGTTAAACCAAGAGGCCAGTGGAGAGGGTTGACTGCACGATGCCTGCAGTGGTATCCGACCCGCTTGACCTACCTGACTAGATACTGAGAGGCCCGAAGAGGAGTTGTCGCCTAGCGGACATGTCTGGTCAACTGAGGAGCCATGAAACAAGGGTGACTTAGTCACAAGCTCGTCCTGGCAAAATTGGTCATCGCTAGGAAGTGGCTGTTTCTTGAACTCGATGGTGTGTCGGCGTCGCGGGTTGGTCAGAGCTCCACTGGTTCGACGACTCAAGAAAATGACCGAGGGGTTATCGTTTACAATCTGTGAACAGGAGCTTGGATTTTCGTTAGATAGC